TGGTCAAGAGACTTAATTCATTTTACCAAGGGCGGAACCTCGTGCGATTTTCAAGGGGAAGAGGAAGGTCTATGACGGAGGTCCTACAACTATTAAGGATTTACACACTAGAATTAGGTTGTAACATGAGTTGACGTTACATTGACGTATTTCCTAATTTGGTTTGATTTCTCAGTCGGGAGAGAGAGAGAGAGAGAGAGAGAGAGAGAGAGAGATGAGGAGTGACTATGAAATTTAGACTTACTACTTGGATGTCTTGAAATGTAATTGGCGCGCACGATATTTTACTCCTCCACGGCGCGTTTTGGATTTAGGCATGAAAAGGATGATTGTGTTAATTCGAAAATTCCAGGCGTAAAGCGTGCGGTGGGCCGCACCACGATTCGTGGAGATACAGAAATTAATACAACGTGCGGTGGTCCGCATCGGAGTTATTAACTCTGAGTGCTGATTCGTAGTAACAACTAGGATGGACGTTGAGGTAGGTTGAAGACGCAAGAAATAGTTGAGCCGAGATGTTAGTTTAACAAACACTTTTCTATGAATACAAAATTCGTTTAGTAAATATTTCTAAGTTCGATACAGAGTTTATGTTCGAAAGAGTCGGATTCAGAGATGTTGCTCGGGTCTTAGTCGGAGTAGAACTGTTCGGAAAACACTGACTCTCTCTACTACTAGTGGTGTTACCCCTGCTACTGGTGGGTGTCTTCCTTTTATACCCGGGTTTTTTGGTTTTGGAAGGGAGGTATTTCTTCTGAGGTTCCCTATATTTTTTCTGAGATTTACAGTCTTTTATGAAACATATATCATATTAATAAAATATTTTAACATTATGTATTTGCAGAATATGATTTTTCACGTTAATGTATAAAATAAGAATAAAGTGATAAAAATTATATATTGCAATATATAAACAAAACAAGTAACATTTCTACAATTTTAGTAGAAAAACATTTTTCCTATTAAAACATATTAACATGAGTTAATTGCGAAAATAAGCTTTAAGCATATTTAATATATTATTAATTTATTTATATGTTCCAATTTTATACATTAACGTGAAAAATCACATTATGAATGCATATCTTTTGTAAATAGCAAAATACATTAAGGAGTAAAGGAAAGAATTGATTGAAAATAAAAGAAACATGTTTTTACTTAAAAAATATTTATGACTATTGTGGCGACATACCGCCACACCGCTGCACCGAAGCGGTATAGTTCATTGCGGCGCCGCTACGCGCCGCAGACCCTCAGCCAAGATCTAAGCCTACGGCTACACCGCCAGGTAGCGCAGGCGGTGTAAGGCTTTCTTGCGATCGAGAATCGATCGACTCACTATAATAGAGCGTCGACTCGATCTGTTGCTTCACTCACTCGCTTCAAGGCGAGCTCTTTTCTAGGACCCTTGAGCTGAATAATAGCTCTCTAGTAGAAGAGCGTAACCAGAGGCTAGTTTCCTCTTCGTTTTCTTACAGTGCCTAGAAAGGCACGGAAACGAAAAACAGAGTCCCAGCTTCGGCCGCACACTTCATCTAAGCGGCCCACTGTTTCTCCAGCATCGTCGTCGCCTCCACAGACTCTAGCTTGGAAATTAATTCCTTTACTCTCTAAATTTCTTAGAGTAAAATCTAACTCCAAACGAGTGGATATTCATTCCAAGCGATAGTGAAAATACTGCCACTCGTAAAGAGTAAAAATTTACTTTTCACAAAAATGATTGTTTCACTCTAATGTAGAGTAAAGTATCACTCTACGTTAGAGTAATGTATTACTCGTTCCGGCGTTAATAATTCACTCGATCAAAGAGTGAAATCTTCATTCTTTCGTCAAGCGAATTTTTCACTTAATTGTTACGAGTGAACAAATTCACTCTTAATAAGTTTTAATTCTAAGCAATGTATATAAATAAGAAATAGACAAAATAATATTTATTAACTATAATTGACAAAGTAATATATATTATAAACACATTATTAAGACGTTATTTTTGTTATTTATTATTTTTTTCATTATCATCAGATAATCTGTAAAAATAATTAATTTATTATTTCTCAGATAAAATATCTCCCTCATTTAGAAGCTTGCAAAAGTTTGTCATATTTTTTATAAGTTTTACCTAAAAATTAAAGTAAATAATTTTACAAACACGGAATTAAAAGAAAACCTGAAGTGACACAAAAAGTGTGATAAAAATAACAGATACTTTAATTGAACGACATATACACTTTTGTTACTATTAACAAATAAACTAAAATGAAAAATACGACCAACTTTTGAAAAAACTTCTTTTTGATCCGCGTCCTCAATTATATTCCGACTTTTTGTGTGGACGAGCTACATATTTATTAAATAATTTTACTAATAATTTTAATTATAATAAATATGTAGCTCGTCCACATAAAGTCAGAATATAATTTATTGTAATGTTTATTAATATACACAATTATATTACTGCTATAACATTATCAAACTATAATTTTAATTTTATTGCAAATCTTACCTTTCAAAATATTGACGGCGTCTTCCGAAATTCCACTGCTTAATAAAAATTTATTTAAGGTTTCAGTACTGTTTAACGTCTTTTAACAAAAGAAAAAAATTTAATATTATTTCAACAGACTTAACTATAACCGAGATTTTGCAGCACATGGTACGCACTTGCCGATTTAATAAACTACAAGTCATTATATAAGTTACTTCTCATTGTACTACTTGTTTATCGATATGCAAACCGAATTTATGACGAAGCTACGTAGCACGGCGAATCACATGCTGTGAGATCTCGATTTACTCTTTTTGTAACCTAACCTAGAAAAACAATTTAACCTAAACACCATTCTTTACATAATATATTAAATCAGTAAATAAACTACACATAAATTCTTATAAGTATTTACCTTTGGAAGAAACGTTGACATTTTTATATGTTTATCTACGTGTATTCTTTATAGATATTCTTATTTATATCCACGATGTCTTGCACCAAATACGTGTAACAATGAGACGAAAACAAGAGATAATGAGACGCAGTGATCATTCACTCTTCATGTGAATGAAATATTCACTCCACACTGCATAGAGTGAAAATATTCACTCTACAAAATAAAGTACACATGATCACTCTACTTTGCAAAGTGAAAAATTCACTCTACAACAAAAAGAGAGAGAATTAACTCCGTATGAATGAAAAGTCACTCTAACTCGAGTTACACGACCAGTCACTCAATTTTTCGAATGCGTTTTCACTCCAAGAAATTTAGAGAGTAGAGTTCTGTGTCCGGTTGACTCGGCCGTTACGGAACACTTTCATACCTGGGGACATTCGGATTCGGAGACCTCTCTCTCCTCGGTTTGTAGAACGCTGTGCAGCGCCGAGTCTCGGCGCCGAGAGCCGAGACGGTCGCAGCGCAAGGCACGCCAGAGACTCGCTCCATCGCAATCCAAACCTCGCCGCCTAGGGCGTGCTCGGAGAGCAGTTGCAATACAGAAGACCACTTTCCGAACGGAGTTCTTCCAACGCCAGGAAAAGGGTTACAGCGAGCTTCATCAATCAAGCCGTCCTTTTTAGAACCGGTTCAATACACTAAGACGCGGCTGGTAATATCTTACCGCGTCCGTCAATTTTTGTTCTAAAATTCACGGCCTTACACTTTGCCGTGAGCGCGCCTCTGGCGCACTTAACGCTCAAACACAATCTGTACATACTCTTCTTTGACAAGAAAAATAAATATATTTTCTACGAAATTGGCTTTCTCACTTCTCACCAGTTCGAACACACATCCTATAGCCATTACGCTATAACTATCTTATTTAACACAAAAGTAATCTGGACAAAGCATACCATGTGATTATACATTGGATAGTTTAGTATTTTAACTTTATTTTAACCATTTTAATATTGTGGTCTTTCGCACCACCCAAGAGGTTCCACTAATGGTGCGTTAGATTTTTTCAAGTGAATCTTCGCCAGGAACCCTATTGTACCCTTTCATTTTTCATTATACATTACCTTTATATAGATATGGTGTCATTTGCAGACAAGATACTTGTCGGTCATAAATGTGGTGTCATTTGTAGACAAGATACTTGTTACATATCGTTTATAAGTGTGGTGTCATTTGCAGACAAAATACTTGTTACATGCCTGTCGTTTACAAGTGTGTCATTTGCAGACAAGATAATTGTTACACCTCTGTAATAAAAGTAGCACACAATTACTTTTCTTGTATCATATAAAAAATATTATTAAATTTATTTTAAATATTATTATTGCGTATTAGATGTCGAGGGACTAACTATATCATTAACACCTGCAGTATATAGATTAAGAAGACTTTTCTGTTTCTTAGGACAATGTGCATATAAGTTGTCTATCGACATGAGAGATAAGTGCTTTTTATTAATCTTTATGTCTAAAACAATCTCTTTTCTAGCTTTTAAAGCTGATTTTAAAACATAAGTGGCATTTACAGAGACGGACGAAAGGCTATTTCGTTTTTAAGTCTGATAAAATTGAAAATATTCTTTCTGGGTCGGCATTAGAATTTGGAGGTGATCTAACAGCATTTATAAGAGATTTGAGTTTGGGATATCTATCATTATTTCTGGAGTTTTCACTTTGTAAAATCTGTTTCCACATGTCATTAAAATTTAATTTTTTTAAATTTGTTTTTTCTGCTATTGTAAAATCTAGATGTACAATAAGCCATTCTTTTTTTAAACCGTTTTCGTCAAAACCTCCGAGAGTTTGAGCGATAAAAGAAACATCATTGAATGATGTTTCTCTGTCAAAATCAAATAAAACAACATCTTGTTCAGGATTACAAATCATAAAGCAAGAATTCCGCTTAGTTCGAAGCTTCGAGAATTCGTCAGCCTTTCTTTCACCGCTGTTTATTTGTTTCGAGCGAAACGGTCCCCACATAGCAAAGATCTCCCCAGGACATCCCAATTTGATCGAAATGGTCCCAGTTTGATCCAGAGCAAAACGTTTATCCGTAGGATTACCTGAGGGTATCCCGTGTAGCATGTCCTGTGGATATCTATGAACGATCTCCGCAGGACATCCCATTTTGATCAAAATGATCCGAACGATACAGATCGATAATAAATAGTTATTCGTAGGATTTCCTGAAGATATTTCTAGTACAAAAAATATACGTACATTAAAATTGCTGTTTTTCAAATTTAGCAAAAGATTTCTTACATAAATATTTTTTAGTAAGACATTTTTTCTTAATTTGAACAGAGAACAAATTTAATTTTGTGTGCATGCGTAGACACACATATAACATACCAATATAATTTTAATCCGTCCATTTGTTAAGATCAAAGTACAAGTATATATAGAGAAAGTATTTATTTCTATTATATGACGATACTAGAACTTGGTCATCGAGTTCTTGGTTCGAGAAGCCAGTATATACAGTGATGGGAGAAAGTTCCGTAACGGTCAAATATCTTAGAAAATAATGATTATGGAAGAAAATGTTCAATACAAAAGTTTTAGTATATTAAGTGGTCTATTATATGGTTATATTGAAATAACCTTCATGTAACCTTGAAGGACACCGCGAAGGTCAACTTTGAAATCTTAAATGGAAACTCCTATTTTCTATTACATATTGTTAAAGCTGATGTCAAGACATTTCCGAAACAATATAATGAAGTTATTTTTTATTAAGTACTTTTCGAGTTATGAGGCTTGAAAGTTACAGCATTTTGACATAAAATACAAAATATCTTGTAAAACATTCAATTTTCGGGAATCTTACCTTAATACTTAATA